GGTATTTGAAATTTCATAATGTTATCTCTTCTTTCGACTTTGTTGAGAACATTATGAATCAATGTTATACCATAAGATCTATGGGAGTAAAATATGTTTCTTAGTTCTATATGTGGATGATATCTTACTTGCATCCAATGATAAGGAAATAATACATGAGGTAAAACAATTTCTCTCTATAAGTTTTGATATGAAAGACATGGATGATGATGCATCTTATGTTATTGGTATTAAGATTCATTGAGATAGACATCAAGGTACCTTAGGTTTATTTCAAGAATCCTATATCAATAAAATTTTAGAGAGGTTTCGAATGAAAGATTTTTCAACAAGTGTAGCTCCTATAGTAAAGGGTGACAAGTTCAACTTGAATCAGTGCTCAAAGAATGATCTTAAGAGGGAACAAATGAAGGACATTCCTTGCGCTTCTGTTGTCGGAAGCTTTATGTATGCTCAGTTTTGTACAAGACCTGACATATCATTTATTTTTGGAATGTTAGGAAGATATCAGAGTAATTCAGGTCTTGACCACTGGAGAGCTGCAAAGAAAGTCTTAAGATATCTTCAAAGACTACATGCTTATGTACAAACGATCAGATTACTTGAAAGTCATTGGCTACTTTGATTCAGACTTTGTTGGCTTTGTTGATTCACAGAAATCAACTTCATGATACATATTTATGTTAGCCGGTGGATCTATATCTTGGAGAAGTGTCAAACAGACTCTAGTTACTACTTCCACTATGGAGGCTGAATTCGTTTCTTGTTTCGAGGCTACCTCACATGGTGTATGATTAAAGAGTTTTATTTATGAACTTAGAATTGTCGACTCTATATCTAAGTCATTAAGGTTATATTGTGACAATTCAGCTGCTGTCTTTATGGCTAAGAATAATAAAAGTGGTAGTCGAAGCAATCATATCGACATCAAATATCTAGCCATAAGATAACGTGTTAAAGACAAGAAAGTGGTCATTGAACATGTTAGCACTGAAGTAATGTTATCTGATCCTTTAAATAAATACATGCCACCACAAAAGTTTAAGGATCATGTAGTCACAATAGGACTTAGTCCCACTATGTAAAATTTCGTTGTAACAATGAATGTTTACGAAACTCTATTTTATATTATATTTCTCGTTAATTGTGTGCACATTCAGTTTTATTTTTAGAAATGTCACTAAATTATGGACCTTGAATACATATTGAGTTTATTCATTTAATTATATGTGTTAAAGTTCAGAGATATAGTCGGTTGTGATACATGGAAGATACTACTCACTACAAGAGAAACTATCGCCATGATTCATGTATTATATTTCATTAATGGGATTAGAAATATACAGACTAAGTGGGAGAATCTTAGCATTTTTGTTAATGTTGATATGGTCCGTATTAGATGGATCCATTATCCCACTTCATGGACCCATTATCTCACTAATGTGAAAGTGGTTAATTACCCATTATCTCACTATTGAGATAATGGTTAACTATGCATAATCCCACTACATGAATCCACTATCCTACTAAGTGGTTGGTAACTTTCCATAACCTCTTAACCGTTCTTGATAGAAGCACGATTATAAATATGTCATTTGGTTCAAAGGTCCCTAAGCACATTACTTCTAAAAACTCCATATCATCTAAGAGTGAGGTTTTGAGTGCTTAGAAGATCTTTGAAGAAAAAAGAATTGTAGACTTTGACTATATCGCTAACAATGGTTTGGAGGTATGTCGATCACTCTATATTTTCGATGCGTCATTACTCTATAATGTCTAACATATCCAGGTTTTCAGATTCTGAACAACACAATCATTGGGTGAAAATTTTATAACACAATTTTGATCAACTAGCTGACCTAGCTGTAACACCCTAGAATTTTTTTGAACTAAGACTCGAACCATTCGTTGTAATGAGTGAGATTTTTGCAAGAAATTTAAAATTTTCTTTTGAGTGTTAGATGTAGCACCTTAAGTTCCAAGAGAAACCAAAGAAAAAAGCATTCAAGCAAACTTCAAACGACCATAACTCCTATCACAGGATGAGTTAGGTGTGCTACAAGATACCTTAGGAAAGATCTTTGAATTATCCATTCATCACCGCCAACTTTGCTAAGTTCTGAGTTCGGATGAGTGAGATGTGACCTTTTGAAGTTAGATTGTCCAGTTAAGGAAAGTTGAAAATAGTGAGGGGTATTATGGTCTTTTCCTTACCCAATCAGATTTGATTCATTTTTAATAATATTTTAGGGGTCGAATCCTATTAGGTTCAGATTTATAATCCTAAAATACGCCTAGGATTTTAGTTAGAGTTCAAGAAGAAAAAATAAGAGAAAAGAGGAGAGGATTAAGCGTTCGTCACGATTCTTGCATCTTGATGTGAATTTTCGCCATGGATTTAAACCCTAAGAGATATGTAAGCTTTCATAGTATTGGATTAGTTCATCCCCACGCTAATCATCTTATTTTCAGCTAAATTTCATTCTTGAAGTTGAAAGATTATAATTCTTTATGAGTTCTTGATAGGTGTTCATGTAGATTTATTTTTTTTGTTATTGATAAATGATGAAGTAAAACTTAAAAAGGTTGGACAGAACTATTAAATTAAGGAAAAATTTTCAAATGTCAATATTTTAATATTATATAGAATTCATTGTCAACACTTTCAATATTACGTAAAAATGTCAAAATTTTAATATTATGTATCTTATTAAGATTTCATTAATTTTTTTTAATTTAAAGAATACAATTGTTAAATAACATGATGGGAGAAATTTAGGGGCGATAATTTTTTTTAAAAGGTACAATTGCTTAAAAATTTCATCAGTTATGAAAATTCAAAACTAAATACAGACTAAAAAAACACATATAACTCATCCCACTTGTTCATCAAATTTATAGTATCGATTTTTGAATTTTCATTGATATCTCAATTTCTATTGAAATGAGTTTGATTAAATCACCTTTTTAATATCCAATCACGACTTCAATGAATCAAATTTTTGAGCCAAAATCGACTTTCTTGAAGAGAAAAAAAAGAGAGAATCGGAAATAAGGTTGCAAAGAAAGAGAGAATTGAGGAGAATGTTGCAAAAATTGTATTCATATTAATTTTTGTTTGTCAATTGTTTTTCTTTTACTCAACATTTATATTTTTTATCAAGAACATTATTTTTTTTTAGTTTGTAGTCATTCCAGTAGGTATGCCAAATTGATTTGTGTTTCTTAAACATAGATGTATCTTATCTCTTTCACAATCAATTTGTATTTTTTTAGAATATTCTATCATTCCTGTTAAGACTGTATTATTTTCATTATGTATGTCATTCTTTATTCAGAATCTTGTATCTTTCTTTAATCGTATTCATATGTAATGATTAGATTATATTGTGATACAATGAGTAATATTTTTGTAATACGAATAAAAGAAAAATATATTTGAGTAACGAACAGGCTGTAGGCAGAGGAGACCCCTTTCCCAATCAAAGTCTTCCCTTTTTTTATTGTATTCTTCACGTCCAAGATTACGTCCGGGATCATTAGATAGGAATCCAAAGATGAAGAGAGAAACAAAAAATATCACTACTGTGGAAACGAAGAGTTTGAGAGTAAGCATTACACAATCTCAAAGATCATTTTATAAGAAATTTCTGTATGATTTATAATCGGAAAAGATTAAACCCAAGCAAAATCTGCAGTAACATCTCAAGAGAATGTTACTAATGGAACATGTAGGAATAATAGGTCCTATTCTTTTTTTTGACCCTCATTTAAATGATAGTTATGTAATACAATTTTTTAGTTTTCACTATGAAAGTAAAATACCAATTTTAATTTGAATGATTAAGTGAGCACATAAAATATAAAACACAATAAAAAAAAGTACAAAATTGTTGTCATTGAAATTGAAATTCGAAATGAGCATAATAAATACTGACGTCAATTAAAATACAAAATTGATTTTGTTGGTATGTCATTATGATGAACACAAGAAAAAAATACAAATTTTTCTGAATACAATGTGAGAGTTAAATACAAAATGATCACCATATAACACGCAACACAATATGATATTCGACTTTAGTTTGAATGGTAAAGTAAGCACATAAAATATAAAAGTTTTTGGTATACAATTATAATGAAAACATAATTTTAAAAAAAAATGAACTTGTGTCTTTGAAAATTGAGATCGAAATACAAAATGAGCACAACAAATACTCATTTCAATTGATATACAAATGTGACTTTGTTAGTATACCATTATAACAAATACAAAATTAAAAATGTCGAACTTGTTTGTATATAAAGTAATATTGAAATACAAAACAAGCAAATTAAAATACAAAATTGTTGGTTAAGTTTGATACCCATAGTAATTCTCTTAGATTCTGTCATTGGAGAGTGATTTAGAGTATATCAAATCCTAACCGTGATTTCAACTACAAAAAATAATTTTAAACGATTTAAATAAAAATAAAATCATAAAATAAATCTTAAAAAACGAATAAAGATGCATACCTTAATAAAAGGAATTGTGTGAATATTTTTATGAAATATATTTTTCAATTCTGGAAAAACAAAAAAGAAAGAAGAGAGACGGATTTTGTAATGGAGAAAAGTTGTAAGATGAAAATATGTCCAAAAAAAAAGATGATGAAAATATGAGAGAGAGAAAATATTTCCTTTATTTTAAACATATGATTTATGATTAATTGGAAAATGTGTAATTAAGGTGAGATAAAATAGGAAATAAATTAGGATATAAAATACTTTCTAAAATAATAACATTTTGACATTTTTACTAATATTTATAAAGTATTGAAGTTTTTATTAATTAAGTTAAATTTTTTGACTGATTTGCTAATTTTTCCTTGAATTAATTAACTCCCACTTCAAGTATTAATCATGGAAGCAACACAAAAAATTATAACTAAGATATGACTTTAAATAATTTGGGGAACTATATATATGTCTTGTGTATCAAATTGAAGTGTAACATATCAATTTTCAACTTCCTTCACTTTCTGGATGAGATCAGCAGCATCTTGAACAGTAGCAATATTTTGAGCTCCCTCTTCTCCAATTGACACTCCAAATTTCTCTTCTAATGCCATCATTATTTCCACCTATTGAATTTCAAAATAAGACATTAAAAGAAAGTATTTTAATAAAATCAATTAAACGTATACACAAATTATAACCTGTTGTAACACGTAACATATTCATATAAGTAAAAATATTTATAGTAATATTATACTCGTAGAACATACAGTGTCAAGGGAATCAGCACCCAAATCAGCAAATTTAGTCTGAGGTGTCACTGTACTTTCATCAATCGATAGCTGTTTGGCAATTGTGCTTTGCACAACTTCCAATGTTTCTGGCTGAGCCTACACAAAATAATTATTTTAAAAAGTATTTTGAAAAAAATTGTTAAGTAGAAAATCAATTAAATTCAGATGTCTTACAATTGAGCATGAGATTTTATTCTTGTAGCCACGAGATAATTTTGATATTTTTGTTTCTGGTCTTGAAATTTGAATGCTTGGCATAAGTTTAAGTTCATCTATCTTTAAATTAAACTGTGACGTACAAAAAAGAAATAATAAAAGAAAGAAGTGAAAAGTCTTACAATAAATTATGTACTTCGTATTCTTTATTTAAATAAACGTGTTACATTTATATTCAGTAAGTAATACATTTTGAAATTTCAGTAGTTTTAGATATGAAATTATCTTATAATTAAAATAATAAGATTCGAAGAGAGAAAGAAAATACATTACATTTTTTATTTGCCTAATGTGGCATTGGGAATTAGTAGAAGTGCAAATAAGTGTGGTTGAAGGTGCTGTGGATGTTGAAATAAAAGAAGCCATGCGAAAGATATATGGTGTTAATTAAATGAAAGATAAATTGCATAATTATTTATAGTGCAAATGAATGGCGATTTCAACTAAAACTTTGGAGTTTTGTCCAAATAAAGTAACGGTCCATCCTATGCTTCTTGTTTTAGAGTGCTCGTAATCTCCAAAATCTGATTTTTTTTAACTTTTGTGCTTGTAATCTTCAATATTACAAACTTCTTATCCACCAGATGCTTTAATTTATTTATTATTAGTTTTTCAATTTTATGTCATTCATTCTTGTAGATGCAAATCATAGATGATCTAGTGGCACACAAGACGATGCCCCTTCACTTGAGTTTCTTTCTTCGTTTAAATATAATAATACGCTTTGACGATGTTACCTACCAAATAAAAAATCTACTAGGTGATCGAAATCGCTCAGGTCAGTGAAGAGTGAGGACTTACTCACTCATCTACCGGCTCTTATCTATTAAATAATTTCTTCTATATATCCATTTAATTAATTAACTTAAATTTTGAAAGGCGGCTATGTTGCTCCTTGAGTTTCAATTAGTATGCTAGGGGTTGGAGTTGTACGGTAAGTCCTAAGTTCTTCCTTTCAATCCAAAGTCAAGGTAATAATTTCTATTAAAAGGGTAACGTAAAGTGTATAAGTAATATTCGAGCTTCATTCCTCGTGTATCATTCTACATAATAATGATACAATTTTTATACATAGATATATTTCTCTATACATATATACACTAGTGAATATTATTCTATATAATAATAATAATAATAATAATACGTTTTCTATGCACACGTGTTTTCATCCAAAAGTGACTATTTTTGTATATATGCATTTCATATATTAGTGATACATTTCTTATATATTTTGTATATGCTTTTTTTTTACATATAAGAGAAGCTTCATTAATGGGAATTTGTGTGGAAAAAATGTAATCCTTACTAATTTTTTTTATGTGAGCGTTACCTATTGAAGAAAGTGTCACTTGAACAATGTGACATATATGTAATTAAGATAACTAGTTAGTTAAGAATTAGTTATAGTTGTTATATGTATTAGTTACTGTATAAATACACTAATGTAAATAGGCATGTACATTACATTCATACTAATACAATTCTGTTCTAAAAGTCTCCTTCTTCATCTGCATCTTCATCTCTTCTTCTTCCTCTCTATTTTTCTTCTACTCCTTCTTCATGCTAATATTCTGATCTACTGCACATGGTATCAAAGCAATCGCAGTAGTTAGGATCAAAATTGTCTAAACACAGTCTGAAAAAGTTGAAGCAACAATGACAGCTGTTGATAATGAGTTACCAGAAAAACTGAGTCATAATCACCCATTGTTCTTGAACAACATCTATAATTCAGGTGTTATGTTAGTCTCGATTCAGCTATCTGGATCTGAGAATTTTTTGGTGTGGAGCAGAGCTATGAGAATAGCCATTTTGGGAAGAAATAAGCTAGGATTCATTGATGGATCTTGCAAGAAGGAAGCATATGGAGAAAACTTGAAGAATTTGTGGGAACGATGTAATGCCATTGTTCTGTCTTGGATAATGAACTGTGCATCAAAAGAATTACTTAGTGGGATTGTTTACTCAACAAATGCAGCAGAAGTGTGGAAGGAGTTGAGTGAAAGGTATGATAAAGTAGATGAAAGTCGAATTTATCAATTACACAAAGAAATTGCAACTATCACTCAAGGTATGAGTACAATTTCAGTGTATTTTTCTAGATTGAGAGAACTATGGGTAGAGTATGATAGTTTGGTTCCTATAGCTACTTGTGGTTGTCCTGGTTCAAGAGATCTCAGTGTGTTTATGCATAATCAAAAATTGCTGCAGTTTCTAATGGGTCTTAATGAGTCATATGATCAAGCAAGAGGCCAGATTCTTATGATGATGCCTCTTCCTTCTCTTAATAAGGCTTATTCCATGTTGATTGAGAGAGAGAGTCAACGTAGGATTACACAATCTGTTAGTAGTGAACAAGTAGAATCGCATGCAATGTTTACTACTCGAAGTCAATCTGTACCTAAACATAAAAATCCTAATGTTCCTAGCTATGATTCAAGTGTGTATTGTGACTATTGTAATAGAACAGGACATACTAGAGCTGTATGTTTTCAGCTTCATGGATATCCTCCTGGTCTTGAAAGAAGGAAGAAAGGATCATCATAAGGAAGAGGGAGAAATCAGAATGATAAAAGACAACTTCATACAACACATAATGCTATCAGTAATGATCAAGAAGAGTTTAACTCTAATAGAGAAGAAAGTTCAAGCAACAATTCTTATAGTCAAAGCTGCAATGGAAGAGTAAATCATAATGAATATAGTAGAGGATTGAGTGTCATTCAGGATCAATACAATCAGATTCTACAAATGCTTGGGCATACAAATGCTAAGGGAGGAACAGAAGGGTCAGGCTCACAATCTAACAGTGCTGCTGCAAATGCAAATATAGTCCAAGATTATGCATCTTTAACAGGTAATGATGTTGCACTTATAGTTGGGGATAAACAACAAGGGTGGATCATAGATTCAGGTGCTACTAATCATATGACATCTTTGCCTACTGTACTTGATTACCAGCAGCAAGTTTTATCAGATAAGCCTAGAAGAGTGTATTTGCTAAATGGAGATAATGTCAAGGTCACTAATACAGGATCTTGTCATCTGACTTCACAAGACAAAATAGAAAATGTTCTGTTAATTCCTGATTTCAAGTTTAACCTGTTGTCAGTCTCAAAGCTTACAAGAGATCTAAACTGTGTTGTCTCCTTCTTTCCTGACTTTGTTATATTTCAGGACCTCTACAATGGGCAGGTGAGGGGGACTGGTAGAGAAAGTGCAGGTCTCTATCATTTACCTATTCACAAAGTCAGTAGAGGCAAACATGAGCAATGCTTCACAGCTGAAGAGAATAAAGAAACACAAACACAAAGTCTTCCATCTATACCTCCATCTATATCTGATTCAAGAATTCTACTGTGGCATCAAAGGCTAGGACACACCTCCTCTAGTGTCTTAGCACAAATACTTCACTTTCCTGTCACTCAGTGTTCCAAGGAAGTACACACTTGTACAATTTGTCCACTAGCTAAACAACATAGACTACCATTTGTTCATAGTAATTCAATGTCTACTCAGGCTTTTCAGCTATTACATATTGATGTATGGGGGCCATTTAATACTGCTACATATGATGGGAATAGATTCTTTGTAACAATTGTTGATGATTGTACAAGAATGTTATGGTTTTTTCTAATCAAGTTGAAAAGTGATGTTTGTGTTTTGCTACAAAACTTCTTTGTGCTAGTTCAAACACAGTTTCAGTCCAAAGTTCAGATCATTAGAACTGATAATTGTTCAGAATTTGTAAATGCTGAGTGTAACAAACTTTTTGTCAGTAGAGGGATTGTTCACCAAAGAACTTGTATGCATACTCCTCAGCAGAATGGCATAGCTGAAAGAAAACAAAAACATCTCCTGGAGATAGCTAGAGTAATAAAGTTTCAAAGTCACATTCCAATCAAATTTTAGGGGCATTGAGTACTAAGTGCTGCATATATTATAAATAGGCTTCCTACACCAGTGTTACAAGGTAAGTCACCTTATGAAATGTTCCACAAGAGACAACCTTCACTTCAACATTTAAGAGTATTAGGTTGCTTGTGTTTTGCCAAGAATATGTATATTCAGGATAAGTTTCAACCAAGAAGTGTAGCTGCTATTCATATGGGTTATAGTGAAAATACAAAAGGATATATACTTTATGATCTAAAGAACAAGTATTTCTTTCTTAGCAGAGATGTCTTGTTCAGAGAATCAACATTTCCTTTTGCAATACCAACCTCTACAGCTTGGCAATTATTTCCTACTACCTTCTCATCAGATGTTGCTTCTAATCCTACACAGTTACCTCTAATTGAAGTTGACACTGGTACATCCACAGTAGATGGTTCCATTCCTGCACAAAGGAGGTCCACAAGAAGTAGTAGAGCTCCTTTTTGGATGAAAGATTATGTAGTTGTTGCAAGTCTCAAGTCTGGTAATAAGCCAACATACTCTATTGACAAATATGTTGTCTATGATCATCTACATACTTCATATCAGGCATTCTTATCTAATTTTGGTAATGATATTGAACCATCCACATTTGAGGAAGCATGTTCTGATCAGAGATGGGTAGATGCTATGAAATCTGAGATTTCAGCCTTGGATGCTAACAACACTTGGACTGTTGTTCCATTACCACCAGGCAAGAAGGCTATTGGGTGCAAATGGGTGTTTAAAATCAAGTACTTAGCCTCAGGAGAAGTGGATAGATTTAAAGCTCGATTAGTTGCAAAAGGATTCAATCAAAGAGAAGGAATTGATTATCAAGAAACCTTCCCTCCAGTAGTTAAGATGGTTACTATCAGAAGTGTATTAGCACTTGCTGCTACTGAGAAATGGCATGTTCATCAAATGGATGTTTCAAATGCATTTCTGCAAGGTGATCTGTTAGAAGAAGTTTACATGGCTCTTCCTCAAGGCTTTCAACCTCCCAAGGATTTTAATGTGCAGGGGGAGAAACCAGTATGTAAGCTCATTAAATTCTTGTATGGTTTGAAATAGGCACCTAGACAGTGAAATGTAAAGCTTACTGAGGCACTACTCAATCTTGGCTTCGTACAAAGTCATCTAGATTACTCACTTTTTATAAAAAGGATTGGAAAATCCTTGGTGGTAATCTTATTATATGTAGATGACATGATGATTACTGGAAATGATTTGAGTTTGATAAAGGCTACAAAAGGAACATTGCTGAATACTTTCAAGATGAAAGATTTAGGAGATCTAAGATACTTTCTTGGGATTGAATTTGCCAGATCACAAGAAGGCATTGTGATGCATCAAAGAAAATATGCCTTAGAAATAATTTCTGAAGTGGGACTTGGGGCTGCCAAACCAGTTTCTACACCACTGGATCCATATGTTAGATTAACAACTAA